TGGTGATATATTTTAAAATCACTCTTCATTATTTTTAACCATCTATTAATATTGAGTACACTCACCCTGCTTTGCAATAGATCTAATTCTTCCTAGCTGAAATTTTGTGCTCTTTGATCAGTAACATTCCCTTCTTTTCCTCCACACTTCATGCAACCTGTTAACCATCATTTTACTTTCTATTCTCTGTCCAACCTGTTTTTGATTCCACATTTATGTGGCAGATCATACAATACTTATCTTTCTTTGCTTGGTTTATTTCCCTCAGCACAGTGTTCTCTAGATTCACCGCACTGTTCCAAATTGTAGCACGTTAATCCTTTTTAAGGCTTAATAGCATCCCATCACAGAAGGGCAAAAGACAAAGAAATACTGAGAAAAGGGGAAACTTGACAACTATTGGTGGAAATATAAACTAGCACAGTTGATATGGAAAATGATAGAGAGATTCCTCATTAAAAAAACAAACTATGGGGCTGGTGAGATTGCTCAGTGGTCTAAAGCACCTACTTAGAACAAGCTTAGCAAAGCACAGGGACCATGGTTCAATCCCCCAGCACCACATGCCAGCCAGCCCTGCCCCCTGGTGGGCTGAGCTGGCCACACACACACACACACACACACTAATAAATAAAATTTTAAAAAAATAAAAAATAAAAAACAAACTAAAAATAGCCGTATCATATAATCCAGAAATCCCTCAATTGCAATAAAATAGAAATTTTTTTTTTAATTTATGTGTGTGTGTGGCCAGCTCAGCCCACCAGGGGGCGGGGCTGGCTGGCATGTGGTGCTGGGGGATTGAACCACGGTCCCTTTGCTTTGCTAAGCTTGTTCTAAGTAGGTGCTTTAGACCACTGAGCCATCTCACCAGCCCCCTAAAATAGAAATTATTGTGGCAGAGTTAATACATTCTCACATTCATCGCAGCATTGTTTACGATAATATAATTAAAACAAACATAGCATAGAAACATAGAAATATAAAAAGAACATTAGGCAAGAAGTATTTTGACAAAAATCTAGTCAATTATTCTTGTCACTAAATTTTTTTTCTTTTTATTTTAGGGAAGGGTCTACAGGGTGTTCAGGGTCTCACTACTAGATCGTACTCAGTAATCCACCTGTTTACAGCCTCGCAAGAGCCAGGATTACAGGTGTGCATCACCACACCCAGTCTCAATTGCCATCTCAGCATGCCCCGGGGGTGGGGGCAGCACAGCAGGCCCAGGGAATCGAACCCCCAGGCCCTGTGCCTGCTTGCAGGCACTTTATTCTGCTGAGCTATTTGGCTGGCCCTTAAATTTTATTCTTTGCCACAGCCACTGAAATGTCAGGACTAACCCACAGGGGAGTGGTACAATGTCCAAAATGTCTTCAGTTCTCTAGGAGGCTTTTCAAGCTTCTCATTAAGGCTATCTTAAGAAAATGATGTACAGTTTGATAAAAACAAGACTGTTCTTGTACTTTTTTGTAACAGATTGCAGGTTTCATTTTTATTACATTTCACCTCAGTTCCTCTCATGTGAAAAGAGCTTCTGGGATGGACGCAGGTAGATTTAGAAACTGTCAGAGTAGATACTGGCAAAGTGATTCCCAGGTCTATGGAGATATGGAACTCCTAGGACTTCTTTCTTCTTTCTTTTTCTTTTCCTTTTTATTAAATTAATTTTATTGAGAAAGAGATAGCAATGAGACAGTTTCAAAACAAGTCAGTAGGATGGTTACAATAATTAATACTTTGCACATTGTTGTCTTCATAGAGACTTCTTATTAAAAGTCAGTAGAACCATTTCACTCTATTTGCCCTCAGATACTTTTTTCTCATTCCTCAGAGTTCCTTAAGTATTCTGACAGGAAAGAAACTAAGAAAAATATTAATAGCTTCAACAAATGTGGAGAAATGAGACACCCTGAGCAATCAAGGACGTGGTCCAGATGAAAAGGGAGATGCCTGACCTCATACCTGTTTTCCCCATCCATGGCCAGCTCTGGCAAAAGGAAAGAGTGAGCACAGGCGTCGGCACGCTTAGCATCCCAAGCATCCCAGGCGGTGTGTGGCTCTGTTTTAATTAGTACAGCTTAGCCCCTCGAGGGGGAAGGGAAGGCACATCCTGCTTCTCTATTTGCCCATCCAGCCTCCTTGATAACCGATGTTCTTTCCAAACCCACTCACCCACGTGTTTCAGCTGGAAGACACTCAGATACTCCAGCCTTTCGTGCTGCCCAAGCCCTGATACGCTCTCTCCAACCTATTCCACGCAGCACTATGCTCCTGTTGAAGTCTCCTTTGTGGTGGAAGTCCTGGTACTTCTAAGTCCTTTATGCCAAAATGGGAACAGGGGATTGTGGCAGTTGATGCTGCATCTGGGACAGTGAGAAATTCTCAGAAATCAGCTTGCACCGGAATGAACGATGTTCATCAAAGTGTGACAAGTGTGGCTGTGGAGCAAAAGGAATGCTTCTACATTGTTGGTGGGAATGTAAACAAGCACAACCTCTGTGCGAATCAGTATAGAGATTTCTCAAAGCTCTACAATGACAAATTCCGTATAACCCAGGTTTTCCCTCCTAGATGTTGTCCCCAAAGAGCTTAAGGCATTGTACTACAGTGGTGTATACACAGCAATGTCTACAGTACCACAGTTCCTAATAGCTAAATCCTGGAAGCAGCCTGCATACCCAGTACACTAATAGATAAAAAAATATGGTATCCACCACAAGCCATGCCGGCCCCAGCCCCAGGGTGCGCTGAGATGAAGATTGAGACTGGGCATGGTGGCATGCGCTTGTAATCCCCGAGCTTGGGAGGCTGAAAACAGGAGAATCACAATGAGTCCAGTCTGCATAATGAGACCCTGTAGGCCCTGTACCAAATACATTTTTAAAAAAAAATATATGGTATTTGACATGATGAAATACTACTTGGCTGAAAAGAAGGATAAATTTGAGGCATTTGTAGGAAAATTCGTGCACCTGGAAAACAAAACACTGAGTGAAACAAATCAGACACAGAAGCTTAAACACAGGAACTGGACATAGTGGCACACACTCATAATCCCAGCACTTGGGAGGCTGAGACAGGAGGATTGCTATGAGCTCAAGATCAGACTAAAGGCCATAAAAGTGGGTGGCAAGATCTTGTCTCAAAAAAAAAAAAAAGCTTAAACACCATATGGTATCTCTCGTTTGCATAAGGAAAAAAAAGAGCAAAATAGATGGACAGAATGAGACAAGGGGATAGGCCACTTACAAATGGGAAAGGATTCCTAGGAGACCAAGGGCAAGGGAAAGGTGGAAGAGAAGGGCAGTGGAGGATATAAGGTGCGCCACGTGCAAGTCCTAACTACCCACCATGACTTGATGCCCCATGAACATGAGCTAAGAAGAGTAACAGCAGCGAGAAGAGAAACAGGAAACAGGATCTGGAGATAGGGATGTGGGTGAGAAGAAGAAGGGGAAGACAAAGTGGACCAGCTGTGTTATGCACACATACATACTTCCCGAGATGAATGCAAACTTCACGTCCTAATAAAATTAAAGTCACTGTAGACTATGGAAGAGAGAGAAGATGCCGTGCAGTAGTAGGAAAGGCAGGGTGGTGCAGGGGTAGAGATGGCGACTATACACCACAGAAAGGGGACTTAGAGCAAGTCCTCCTCATCACCTGTCCTGCTTAGAAAAAAGGGAATTCAAAGTACTTTTGCAAGGCTACATTTTTAAATGTATTAGCTACATTTCCAGAAAAAGATTCTTCAGTTTTTCGGTAGGTTAACAACTACAACAAAATCAATTGTTGGAAGAAATGTCCAGAAATATATAACTCATTTATTTTCTTAAACAAACCTTCTGCAATATGCCTGAGGCAATCATCAACTTTATGTTACACAAAGTAGTCTTGTACCTTAATAGATTTCCTATTTGAAATGATAATCAAAAGACCAAGTTCTTTTTACTCATTTATTCAGTCTGGGCACAGGGAGACACCAGCAGGCTGGAAAATAAATGAATTTCCTAATGTTGCTTTTAAATTCACAGTGATGTTCAGAAATTTCTTTTGAAAAATCTGTAAGCAGGCTGATTACTGTTTTTGGTCTCATTTTTTCAATTATGAAGTCTTCTAAGCACTATCTTCCTTTTTTTTTTTTTTTTTTT